ATCAATAGGGCGTTTACATAGTTGAGAAAGGCAATATCCTTTCTGAACTATCTCAAGCTTTGTCCCACTTCCAACTTCCTGTCCCTTCTAGCATCTTTTGGAAATGTTCTCAACCCTCACCATCCCTGCAATGATTGAATCGATTCAACTTTTCCCCCACCAAATTTTACATCACCTCTTTTCAACCAGTAAGCAATCTACAGCTAGTGTTCCATGAAAGGTGTCTGTTGCCATGAACCAAATTCAACAAAATCAGATATAAATGTTTAGCAATGGGGCCAATGATACTCTCAGTGAAAGACGTGAGGAAAGCCCCAAGGCCTGAGCTCTCATGTTCAGCCCCTATGCCCCGCCAACCATTAGGCTTAAGGTTGAAATTAGGGATACAGTCAACTCCCTATTAGGCCATACCCCTTGGTGGATATGTTTTGCTATGGGTTAATAAGTCAAGCTTTTAGGCATCTTTCCCATTTTGGTGGACAAATTTCCTAGAAAAATGTATGGCTTAAGAGGGGTTATGGGTTAATAGGTCATGGTTTAAGAGGGAGTCGACTGTACCACAGTTTTTGTTGAAACACCCGCCTATACCCCCATCCGGCACATGGGGGGGAGGCTATTGCGGATATTTACAGGGCTATGAGATTGGTCTAGCCTAACTCAGCCTCTTGAATGGAGGAAGACCACATCCCACAGGGACTCTCCATAGGAGAGGCTTATGGGGTACAGTTGACTCCCTCTTAAACCATGATACTAACCCATAACCCCTATTAAGCCATACATTTTTCTAGGAAATTTGTCCACCAAAATGGGAAAGATGCCTAAAAGTTAACCCATACTCTCCCTTAACCCATAGCAAAACATGTCCACCAAGGGGTATGGCTTAATAGGGAGTCGACTGTATGTCTTGATTTTTGTGTGGGTGATTTTACACACCATTTCTCCTTTCAGGCTCTACAAAAACAATACTGGAGGTAATCAAATGATGCCCCAAAGTAGAAGAGTAGCCAGGAATGTTGGCTTCACACGGCCATCCTCAGAGTGAAATTTTAGTACATATGTGAGGTTGCTTCTTCTACATTCTCAATTTACTCAAGATGATAGAGGCCAGTAGAGACTGTAGGGAGAGGTAGAGTTATATACCTCTCTTGTTATGGGGGCTTGAAAGTTGAAGTTGTCTAGAACCCCAATCATCACTTCAACAGCCCTGTCCTGGCATACCCATCTTACCTACACCCACACAAACAAGGTTATTGACTTGTCTTGGTGATGGAACCCAGTCAATTCAAATTCATCTCCAATACTCTCAATCAGTTTCATCTCAGAAACGCCGGAAATAACGCCTCACGCTTCAAGCTGGAAACCCCGAGTCTTACCGCTTAACAGGTTGAGAGTGATGAAGTTTTATGAAAACACCTCATTGTTTTTTTTTATCTCTCTTACTTCCTATACCTAACTTCAACTTATGTACTCTATTAAAATTCCTCAGGAGAAGCAACATCAAGCAATTAACCCTTAGAATAAAAAGCCCGAGAGATTTATAACCAGTCTTACTTCTCAAGGCAGCTTTTCTATCCTTGTGGTTTGAATTTTTGGAGACAGATCCATAGCCTTTCAGAAAGATCTCAATCTCCCAAACAAGTTTACTACACCCCCAGTGCACTTGGACGTCCAAGTGGCAGGGTCCAGGGGGATGGCACCAGGACAGCCGCCCCCACAGATCAGAGCATCCCAGGCGCGTGCTCCTCCCAAAATAAAAGGCCAGCCCTGGGATGTCTTGGTGGAGCGTCCATGTGATGTCCCCCCAAAGCATCCTACTGATGGCCAGGAGGTATTTGAGGGCCGTCTCCTCCAAAATTGTACATCCAGAGTATCATTCAATGTGGTGTCTCTGAGCTGTTACCAACACAGCATTTTGGCATTTTTCTTGCAACAGCAGGATGTCATTGAGCAGCACACACACACAACCACCAGAAAGCTTGAGGAAACTGAATGCACAGTATTCCCACACCAATGATCAGTGAATCAAAGTGTGAAATGGTATTTATTTGTCAATAACCCACAGAAAAATACAATTGGTTGTTTACAACAAAGCTAAAAAACTACTCCAAGTAACTCAATCTAGGCAACAGGATCGAGACAACTGCATGGTTGTTCTTCAATGTCTTCAATTCAGCTAGTAAGTAACTCAAACCTAAGCAAGATAGGCAATGGACAGCAAGCAACTTCTCATATCTAATCCCAATCCCCTTTCACTTTGTCAGTTTGCTTTTTTTTTCTTGGGCAAGGACGTGAAATTTTGAAATATATGATACGGTCAACTGACCCTTATGAATTTTCTTCATATATTCCATTCAGTGGCCCTCCTTGAGTCATCAGTAAATAGTCAAATCTGTTTGGTCCGACCTTTTTCTGGAACTCCATCGCGTTTCTCTGATAGTTTTGATTGTCCTTAGCAGAAAAGAAGGAAAGAGCACGAATGTAAGGATGGGGGAAAGATGGGCATGTAGCTGGCCAGATGAAAGCAAAACTTGATGCAATATCAGCCTGAATGAACTCAAATTGTTGTTTAGAATTGTCTCTGTTCCTGATTGCGACTGACAATGAAGATTCTACTAGCACCAAGTTGAGCACATTGTAGGGCAATTCTTCCCCCTCTAGGGACACTACGACGGACGTGCTGTGAACGGTTTCAATTCGATATCATGGGATTGAGCCTGGTTCAATGAAATGTTGATCGGAGATGAGGGGATTTAGACTGGAACAACGAACGAACCGATCCAAAGGGGTGATTTAAGACTGGAGCAAATGTTTCAGTGGGGGAAGATGAAAATGGTTTGTGAATGAGAACAGGATGAGACGGTCAACGTGGGCACACAGTTGAAGTCCTTCAGCTGTGTGCCAACGTTGATCATTGCTTGTAATTATGTACAATCGACTGTGACAATCGACTGTGCGACAGTCGTTACGAATGGGGTTCAGGGGTGCTGATCCCCCATTCACCACCAGCAATGGACCTCTGAGGAGTCAGCCTTCTTGCCCAAGGCTGACCCGAAAAAAATGATAAGAAAAAAATTGGGGAAACATTGAAGTTGAACAACGGTATATGTTAGCAAACTATACGTTGGATTTGGTTGCAAAAAAAAGATTATGAAGAGGCCATTACTGTTCTCAAAACTGTTCTTGGCTTAAGGCCCCATTTGATAAGAATACCGAACCCATCAAAAGTGAATCATCCGGGCCCAGGCGGCTTGTCAGAGTGCAATGGCCAGATATTTCTTACAAGATACTGAGAAATGACTGAATCTCCTTCATGAAGCTCTTCACAAACTAAATGAACTTTGGCAGGACAAATCATTAGGGATTTCTAAAAACTAGCACCCTACTCATCTGCTGTATCAGGACTTATTGTGAGGGTACTTATGTCTCAATCAAGCTGTATCAGGACTTATTGCGAGGGTACTTTGGTCTCAATCAAATCAATCAAAAGCCAAATAAGGATCATTTTGACCTTCCGAGTGGCCAGACTGGGGATTCCATTGATGATAAAACAATCTTGTTGTCTGACCAATTGAATTTCCTCGTTTGACTTCTCTTTCTTGGACAGTTTTCTTTGCTCTTCCAAAATAAAACTGTTTCACAATGGCTAATTATGTTAAGATTCTGTACATCACATGACTGTCTACTTGAAGCAGATGAAAATACCTATATTCTAATCTTGTGTTCATCAAGAAACTTGATTGGGGATTAGTTTTAAGAGAATTTTGGAGTTCATTAGCTGGTGATATAGATTGAATATAATTGTGTGAAATCCTATGGAATTCTTTTTCAAATACTTTATCTTCTAAGAAATGAGTTTTATCTCCAAAAAAAAGGTTGACTCCATGGAAGTACATTGAGCTTAGTGATCTCATTCAGTTTACTACTTGACTTCATATTAAGGCTACCTTTGAATAAATCTGGAACCTGGATTTTAAACAAGTGAAAGATGAAATTTCTTTCATGTCCAAACAATAAATTCCACTTTTTCATGTTTCTGGTGGCATAAAAGATGATCATAGAATTTAACACAATTTTAACAATATCTACTGGGCCTTTATACAGCACTCCTAAGAGATGCTTTCTATCATTTCTATCTCCCAACTGATGAATGTTCTTTCTCAATCCTGGTGACATATGTGGCATACATTTAAACATGCTGTAAAACCTTTGCAAGAAGGCTTGGATTTTCTTACTAGTTTCATCTGCTGTTTGTTCAGAAGTTAATTGTGAGTCAGGATATTCTCCAAGGATTTTGAGAAGCCAATCCTGAAGAAAAAAGTGCCCCTCCAAATAATATTCTTCTGAATGTCCAAAACTTTGAAGGAATTCCAAGTTGATAAACTAGAGTAGGTCTGAAAATCCTTCAAATTTTTCAGATGTGTTTATCCTGGTGAATTCTTCTTTTTTGATTGGAGATTTCTGGTTGATGATTTTCAAATGAATGTTATTTTGCTCAATTATTCTAGTTTTTGGGCCCTTTCATGCATGAGGATGACTGTTGTCCCCCTGTCAAGTGTTGAAGCTGGTTGGGCTTCCGGACAGCAGGGTAATGTCACAGGGAGACTCAGATGTCATGGGCTTTGAGTGGGAACGGCTAGGTGATGGATGAGTTGGTGTGGGACGTGATACGTATACAAGGGTGGGGGCGTGATGACCTGGGGACAGCATGCTTGATGCAGGGACGGCTCAGGGACAATTGCATCCCTGGGCTGCACTAAGTTTTTTAAGTGGGACGTGATAGAGATGCCAGTCGTTGGCAGTGATGTCCTGTGGATGGCATTCCGGCCCAGGGACGTCTCAGGTACAAAGGCATCCCTGGGCTGTGCTAATTTGTACAGAGTGCCCTGCCTGTGTACACTTGGCTTTACACTTGAATATAATGGGACAATTGTAAATCAGAGAGGGGTTACAGGGGTTTCTCACATAGACCCCTCTTGAAGCATTTGCAACTGATCATGGCGAAGGGGGGGGGGGGGCTAATTATTCAATCTAAACTCCCCGAGTCCCCAGGCTTTCGGGCTTCGTAACCCGGCTGACCACCGGATCCAAACCGAGCTCATCCAGGTTTTCTCCATCGACTCAGGGCTCAGTACGCCAACAACCTCATCAAACAAGAACAACAATCTCTAAACCAACACATCATGGCTCAGTACGCTAACAACCTCATCGAACAAGAACAACACTCGCTTTACCACAGTCTGCGCAATATTTTCACTTCAGAAAGCATCAACACGCTGGAAGATTTCGATAGGCTTGATAAGAAGCGTAAGCCAAGCATCAGTAGCACTGACTCAGTAAACCATGTAATCTCTTATCATTTCCCATCTATTCTTTTACAGAAACTGAGAATTGTCTACTCCGGCTTCACGTGCTCGCCTTAGATCCAAGTTCTGGTAAACGGCATCAGACGGTAACCGATAGAATGTTATCCCTCATAGTGAGCTCTTCCTTCGAACGATTCAAGCCTATTGTCACCGTCATCCTCGGCAACGAAGCCAAACCCAATCAAGAAATGTATGATCTGATCAAAAAAGAATTAATTGACCTACCAAGCCCTTCTTCACTATCCGCGATCACCACCGCCAGCCTGGTGGATTCTTCCGAACGTGTTGATGACTTACTTCCTAGGCTCAAGCTGGAATTGCACAAATTGATGTACAAGGATGTCCCAGATTTGGTGGAGCATTTGTTCCAGCATCATCACGTCGATTTCGCCGAGATCCTTCAGCCCCACAAAAGTTTTATCAAGCAAAAGTACGAAGAAAGAATAGACGACACATCGGAGCCTTCTATATTGGCATGGATCACACCTCTCGTCGAAAACTGCTTTACCTGGCTGAAGGAGGCAGGACTAAACGAACAGCTTTCTCGTGCTTGGGTCTGTCCTGAGAAGTATCTCATAGGCGTTGAAGGAAGACGAAAGTTGGATTGTGCAATTGTGTCACAGTCTTTCTGGCGCAGCAATCACTTCGAAGATGTTCTGGTCCCTGTCGAGCTAAAGAAGAACGGTTCCGATGACCGCGATGCCAATATTTGCTTGGCCAAATCCGTCTACGAGGTCTTCATAGCTCAGCCCAGCCGAAGCTACGTCATTGGGCTTACGTTGTGTGGGACCTCCATGCGGCTCTGGCAGTTTGATAGGTCCGGTGCCATCGGTTCTGAATCATTTGACATCAAAAAGGACGAAGACAACTTTTCCAAGTTCCTCGCTATCATCTTATTTCTCTTGACATCAAATAAGCAAGTCCTCGGCTTTGATTCATCCTTCATTGATATTGCCGGGCAGGCTTCTACTACTACTCGAGAATCACCAATAATACAAATCGGGACCGAGCCCAATCGTCAAGAACTCATAATAGATCGCCTTATCTTCCGAGCGCACTCGATCTGCGGACGCGGGACGACCTGTTGGCAAGCGCATCTCTCCGGAGATGAGCGTACAAAATTTGTCGTAAAAGATTCATGGCAACCGGCTCACCGGACAGAAGAAGGCGTTATGCTTCGCGAGGTGACGGAAAAAAACATTCCTCATATGGCGAGATATTATCATCATGAAGACGTCCAAGTGGCCAACCAGATAGTCGACATTGAATCTCACGTTCGGGCGGGCATCATATTCAGAAACGGCCAGACGATTGAAATGACTAATGAGTCCGTCAATTCAACCCACTCAAACCAGACGATCGAAACCACTAGTGAGTCCGTCAATTCAAACCACTCAGATGAATTCACCAATCGGTTTCACAGACGGTTAATTCTGAAAGACGTGGGGGAACCTATTTGGAAAGTCGATTCTCCGGTTCGTCTGTTGGAGGCTCTTGAGGGCGGTATTAAGGGACACCAGGCCTTATTGCGCGCTGGTTACCTTCACAGAGACATTTCTATCTCCAATCTCATGATTAACTACCAGAACGATCTGAATCGAAAATCCTTCCTGATCGATCTAGATGTGGCGATTCCCTACCCTACCTCGAATGATCAAGCCCGTTCTGCAAGAACCGGCACAAAAGTTTTCATGTCGATCAATTTGCTTGCACAAGAACATGGCCATAGTTTCGTGGATAATCTGGAATCCTTTTTTTGGGTTTTGATATGGATTTGCATCCATTATCCTAAAGGTGACAGAACAAGATCTAATTTAACAGGATGGAATGAAATGGACCTGGAGACGCTGAAACACACGAAGCGTGATTTGCTCGCTCACACTGATGAACTTACGGACAAATTCACACAACTATACAAAGAATCAAAGCCTCTCATCACCTGTGTGCACGAGTTTGCCAAAATCATGGGCCATGACTATGTCAGGGAAGAAGAGTCTGAAACACTTTATGATCAAATATTGGGCATTCTCCAACAGGCTCAAAAAAAGTTGATTGAGGAACAAAAACTGAACAACCATAAGTGTAAGTAGTTTAACTATCCTTCCTCTGTCTTGCTGGCCTATTGTTTCTAGGATCCTACTTTTTGTTTACATCTTGTTTCCGAGCCATGTCAAATCACTGGCAAGGTGATCGTTTTTTTCATTTTTTTTCAACAAAGAACAGGAGTATTCCCTTTTTGCTATGGTAATACCTGGAACCATCATACTTTCTATTTTTGTTGTTGTTGTTGTTTTCATCTTCTCTTCCTCTTTGTTGATACTGTGCACTTATTTACACTGACTTAAGGACACCAATGTTGTCCACCGTTATAGCCACAGCATAGCAAAGCCCTTGTTGGGTTTTAGCAATTGTGGTTTGAGTGAGATAGGCCAGGCCCACCGTATACAGAGCCTTTGTGACAGTGAGACCGGGAAAACGTGTCCTCACCCGGGCAATCGTATATACATGATGCGTCGCATTCCAGCTGGCACGTTCTTAAATACTCAGTAACGAGCGAAGCGACAAGTTATACATGCGGCTACATAGATGTGTCCCAGTTCGGAATCGGTGGAACTGGCGGAGTCGAACAGACCTTTACGTCTCCAATGTTTGTTGGAATATCTCCATCCTGAGAGTCTTTGGGGGCAATCAAAGCTTTCTGAAGCACCTCCCCTTGTCAATATCTCTGTTTTGATCGTCAGTAGAATCATTGTTTTGTCTTCTAAAATTTAAAAACTAATTTATCAATCATCCTTTTAGTAGCTAGCAAAAATCCAGCAATGTTGCTTTCGCAAATCCTTATCATAGTTGAGTGGACCAACCGATTTTGCTGACGACTGATTATCAGGCATTTTTAAATCCCCCTCAAAAAAACTCACAAGACGTTTTTGGTTTTTTTTCGACAGGGTTTGGGGCTATGTGTGTCTACGTTCGCTGCAATAGTTCGATTGGAACAAGGGGCTGAAGGAGCTGCAGTTGATGGAACCGATTCAGCCTCATTCCAATTATCTGTGGAGGGGGGCGAGGAAGCGCAACATTCAGGAGGCATTGGATCCCTCCCTACCAGGATCAATGAAGAGATCGATGGCGAGAGCACGGCACATCGAGTCAACCCGGTAGGATCATCTGCGCCTCGACATTCATCAAATCCGTCTTCCTCTTCCAGGGATCGCAATGTCGAGCACGAATCAAGAGATCAAGCACCAGATCCTGATGGGGTTATTGGGGTGGCACAGAACCGGCAAGAATGGCCCGCCTGGCGTGAGCACCTCGAATATATCACTCACGCAGGTGCTATTAGTCTTGTGACTTCTCATTTGGCTAGGACATGGGCGCCTGCATTAATGCTTGAAGAAGAGGGGAGTCTTTCTTTCGTAGTGACTGCGTTAGCTGTCGGGTTTTATTATTGGAAACACTTTTAAATTTATATCTTACAAGTTCTCGATTGTATCTAAATCAGTCCCAGTTCTGTTCATACATAAAACTCTTGTTATGGTCTAACCATTTGACATATGCCCCTTAATGACTATTTTATTGGGATTGGCACCGCACCTCAACTTTTTCTGCCATTTTCTCATTCTCTTCATTTCCGCTGCCGCGCGACAACGCAAATGAATTGATGTCCATTTGCTTGAGTCTGCCCTGTGGAAGTCAAGTGATCAGTAACAGAAACGCGAGCTCAACGCAAAAAAAAAAAACTTTGATTTTGGACCAGGGCCAAGATGTGATTGTGGGTTCCCCCTTTTCTGGGTGATTCTAGTGGGAGCATACTCACAAATGGGTGTTAAATGGCAACAAAATGGGATTTCCCTCAGCTCCCCTGGTATGAATCCTGCCGAAATGTGGACTTATTCAGCCCCCTCCCTCGCTTGATTCTAGGCTGTGCCAGAGCCTGCCGGGATCCGCTAGAGCTGTTCCTGATGGAAGGTAATAAACTTGCAAAGCTAGTGGAATTGGCGTGAGTAATAAGCTGACGTGGTCCTAATGGGTACCTGCCCCCCCTGGGGTGTGTTTCGTAGAGCCCACGAGGGAAATTTGCTTCTTGCCCGAGCCGGTCTTGTTGGCTTAATGGATTGGCGGTGTTTTCTCGGATCCGCAACCTCGTCCGGCAAGGAGCATCCCACTCAAAAAATCCAGTTCTTTCTTTGTTGTTTTTGTTGATCCACAACCGATGTCTCGGTCCATATCCCCAGAGCCGATCCCAGCGAACCGGCGCCGATACACCCTTGACACATGCAGTATTGAGCTGCATCGACGGGGCCGATGAACAGAACTAAAAAAAAGAGTCTGTTGACACATATCAGTTTATATCACTTTTGAAACAGCCAAGAAGGCTTCGATCTTTGTGTTTCTGCTGTCGTTGTTGACACAGCGGATGTCGGTCCAGGTCCCCCTTATAGTATATCTAACACGAGAGCAATTGTGATAGTGAGGCCGGGGAAAGTTGACATCTGATCGGGATCTATGGAACAGGCAAAGTCGAACAGGCCTTGACCATTCAACCTTTGTTGTTGGAATATCTCTGTATATAAGAGTCTTTGTGGACAATCCAAATCTTTTCCAAAGCATCTCCTCCTATCATTATCTCTATTTTTTAAGCACCACTAGAATCATTCTTTTCTCTTAATCACGTTTTTCTTCGAGTGAGGTGCATATTTCAAACACCCTTCTATTCTAAGCAGCAAAAATCAAGAAATGTTGCTTTCACCAATCCTTTATATCATACACCACGGGTCGAGCCGGACGACTTTTGGTCGGTGCGCTGGATGGTTGTCCGGCCAGTTTTCCGTGGCTCTGCGATGACCATCCTATGGATGGCACTCTCAAAACCTTGAATTGGACGTTTTCCAAGAAACTGTCCAAATGGGTGTCATTTGGATGGATAAAAACCACCGAACTAGGCATCCAATGGATGCTGTTTGGGTATTGACTATTCTTTCCGATAGGCCAAAATATTAGTCTTATCAATTTGATTTCATCTTATTTTGGCTCAGTTAACTTGTTAGTTTTTAAGATACATAGGTATATATTTTATTTACTGCTCGTTGTTACAAGATAATGCAAAATAAGAATAGTAAAACAAAGAAACAAGAAGAAATCACTTAAATGAAGAGGAAAATGTTAATGGAGTCAGAGACAGCTAGTTAAGCAAGAGACAAAACAAAAAGGAACCTACATGTTGACCATATTGTTCTGATGCTGATGAGACAAAGAGAAAGAAACACAAGCCCAAGATTCAAAAGTTGATTGGTTTTCAAACGGGGTGAAGCCTTGGTCCAGTCACTGATAGAGACTAAATGACAAGATGATGTATTAGCTAATCAATCAATCATCTTACTGGAATCGAGTACAATTTACAATCTACTTACTGATTCTCAAATTCTCCTGCCTGCCATAAGAGGCTGTTGACCGTTTTGATTAAGGGCTGTTGACCTTCTTGTTTGAAGCTGTGAAGGGCTGTTGACCATCCGGCTTGAAGTCGTGAAGGGCTGTTGACCATCTCGTTAAAGTCGTGAAGGGCTGTTGACCATCTCGTTCAAGTCGTGAAGGGGTGTTTGTTGACCATCTTGTCTGAAATTGTAGAAAGCTGATGACTATCTTGGTCAAAGTCGAAGAGGCTGTTGCCCATTTTATGCCCCCTTGAATATGGGAACACCCGAATTGAGCTTGACTGCTGACTGCACTCCAGGTCAGATTTTTGAACTTTGACTACTACCATTGACTGCAGTGACAGGCTGCATCTGAAATTTGAAAACAAAAATTCAACTGACAACTGCATTTTGGCTCAATTTTTCGACTAACAACCCCCACCACCTTTTTTCCCTGTGTCCATCGGACACTTGCAATCAATACTGTCCAATGGACAGTACTTTTTTGACCATCCAGTTGATGTTTTTGCCTGGGGAGCATCACTTGGACGCTTTCGGAAGCATCCAAGTGATGCTTGGGGCACCAGAGCATCCTTTGGATGCCCTCATAGCGTCCAAGGGACTCTTTTGCTCAAAAACCGACCATCGGATGAGCAGGTTTTCTAAAAACCCGCCCCGTGGTGTAGTTGAGTGGGATCAACCAACCGAGTTTCCAAACATTTTTAAAATGACCGGGAAAACTCACAGAATGTGTATTTTTCTTGACAGAGTTCTGCACTAATTATGTCCACGTTTGCAGCGATAACCAGAGTGGGACAAGGAGTTGAAGGCGCAGGGCTTCATGGAGCCGATTCGGACGCTTTCAGGCTAGGAACATCTAGTAGATCCTTCTTCCACTTCCAGTCATCGCAATGTCGAGCAGGAATCCACAACACCACAAGAAGCACCAGAAGCCGATGCAGCTACTGGGATCGCACAGAGGGGTAAAGCGTCGCCCAACTGGCGCGACCATGTTGTATATATCGCTAACGCTGGTGCAATGGGTCTGGCAACCTCTCAATTGGCTATGCGATGGGCGCCTGCAGCAATGCTCGAAGAACAGGGCATTCTTTCGACTTTAGTGACCGTCTTGGTCCTCCGGTTTCACTATTGGAAACACTAACCCTAATTCACATCGTTCAACTACCGAATCTCAGTCACCGTTCTTGTCTTGTCGAAATTATGTTTTCATTTGGTGTCTGCCCTTGAGCTTTTGTTGCGATCTCACTCTTTTTTCCTACCTTTTTCTCATCCACTCCGTTTAATTCATTCCTCAGGTTCGACATTCATTAAAGAAATTCGCACTTTCTTCCCCCCCCCCCCCCCTCCCACACTTACTGGGTTCATTTGTATCTGGATTCTGCACGGTTCACATGTGAGTGATTGGCAGCGATTGTCCTATCGTAGTCAACCGTAGTTTACAAGGTGGAAATTTTGAATGTCTGAACAGCTATGGATCTGTCTCCAAAAATCAAACCCACAGGGATAGCCAAACTGCCTAGGAAAGTTGGGAGTCGGGTTGTAACAATCCAAAGAGAAATTGCTATAGGTTGGTTCCCTCAAGTGATTCTATCATGTTTGATTTGTGAGTGCTCAGAATATGAGTACTTGTTTTAGAGTACATAAATTGAAGTTAGGTATAGGAAGTAAGAGAGATCAAAAAAAAAAAAACAATGAGGTGTTTTCATAAAACTTCATCACCCTCGACCTGTTCAGCGGTAAGACTCAGGGTTTCCAACTTGAAGCGTGAGGTGTTATTTCCAGCGTTTTTGAGATGAAACTGGTTGAGAGTATCGGAGATGAATTTGAACTGACCGGGTTCGATTAGCGCGATGAGCTCCCATTGGTCTTCATCGGTCTCATCTACTTCGACTTTGGTGATCGATTCGAGGATGATTGGTTTCAGTTTCTTGCTCTCCTTGGTCGTCGGGATCGTCAGTCTGATCTTCATCTGACTCCTCGAAATCGAGATGATCTCCGGTCTTGATGATAATGATTTGATCAACTCCAGTGCCTAAATCATCAAGTTTTTTTTTCTTTGTTAGTTTGAGAAAAAAGTAAAGGATTATCTCAGATCAAGAACGTGTTTTTGAAGTGCTACTGACTTGAGTTTTAGAGCTCTTTGATAGATTGACAGATAAGTGTAATTCGTCGAGAGCTTTCTCGATCATGGAAGAGGTATGAGGTCGATTCGTCGTAGGATCGACTGTCTTCTCGGCGACCAGATGGATGATTTCTCTCTTCTTATCGACCAGGGCTTGAGCGCGCTCCTTATCCGAGACTTGGAGCTCCCCGTTCTTCAGGATTTCTAGCAGGATCTCTTCGGATGGTAAGACTGTTGCAGGAGTCTTGTTGGGGACCGGGAAGGATTTGAGTAGGTCGGAATGCGAGGCTAGTTGGCCCTTTGAGACGTTGCTGAAGATCGTGTCGGTCTGGATCACTTCTGATAGATCCGTTTCTACGCCTGATCGCCATTCCATAACCTGTGTTGATTTTCCTCATATCCAAAAAAAAAACAATGATAAACAGATGCGAAAAAATTGAGTGAAGAACCATGTGAGTTGGATTGTGACAAGAAAAAAGCGGTTGATGATACATACTTTGTTTTTATAGCACGCAATCTCGAACCGTTTTCCGGCCTTCTTGAGTCGTACGATCGATACATTCGTGAGTTTGATCTGGTTGGAGGGTTGGAATACTGGCATGCTTGCTGTGCTCGTATGGAGAGGTGTTGGTCTTTTGAAGTTTTCTAATACAATTTTCTTTGGCGGAGTGTGGGTGGGAAGCCAGATTTGGAGTATCCGCACTGGGGAGACTGAAAGTACCCAGCCAATCGTCCCTTCCTGCCGTACATAAGCCAATCAGCCAATCAGCCAATCAGCCAATCCTAGCCAATCAGCCATCACCATCACCATCACCAAGACAAGATGCCCCATCATCGACCAAGAGCATCAGACTTCGACCCACCAATCACCAAACGAAGCTCATCACCACCACCAACAACATCATCATCCCATCATCATCATCATCATCATCAACGCAGACCATCGCCCAACTATGAAAGAGGAAACCAGCAGAGACTCACTCCCGAAGAATCTCTAGACGACCGGCATCATCACCATAACCGTAATCACAACTATCAACAAGACGAACATCCCAATAATAATAACAATAACAGTTACTCGAATGGATACCGTCAAGGTGGAAGGGATGATTTCTTTGAAAAGTAAGTGATCATCAAATGATAAAATCAGTCTACACGAATCGGTTGATGACCAACCCATTGTACTCAAAAGGCGAAGATTAGATCGACAGAACGCGCCAGTCATCGGGCTTTGGCCCAAGTCACCCACTCAAGCTTATGGAGAAGAGAAGAAGAAAAAGAAGAGCAAGAAAGAAGACCGCCATCGATCGTCGAAAGATAAGAAGAAGAAGAAGTCATCAAAATCCAAGCATTATCGATCGGATGATGAGTCTGATGAGAGCGATCGATCTGATGATCACCTTCATCATTCACGCAAGAAGCATAAATCGCACAAGAAAAAGAAGTATGATTCGGAGAGCGAAAGTAGTGATGAGGAGGCTCGTAGATCGAAGAAACGGAAGGGCAAGTCGAGGTCAGTCGAACTAGAAGAAAGGAGAGACGAGGAAGAGGACGTATGGATGGAGAAAGAAGTGGCACCACCACCGACAAGCATTGTCAAAGCCGAAGCTCCAAGGAAGGAGAGTCTTACTGGCCCGTCTCGTCCCGTGGCCATCGTCGAACAGGCTCAAGCTCTCAGAGAAGAATCGCTGGACGACGATGAGACGGATATGGGCGAGGTAGGGCCGATGCCTTATAACCATGCGACGGGCAAGGCGATGGACCCGAAGGAGTTTGGACGGGCGTTGAGGCCCGGTGAGGGGAGTGCGATGGCCGCGTTCATCGAGGCGGGTGAACGGATCCCTCGGCGTGGAGAGATCGGGTTGACCGGAACGGAGATCGAGAAGGTCCGTCCATCTCCACACCTTAAAACCCTTCTCTTTTTTGTTTGTTTGTTTGATCATCTTGCTGATCGGAATTCTGTGCCGATCAATCAGTTCGAAAACGTCGGCTATGTGATGTCGGGCTCCCGTCATCGAAGAATGAATGCGGTCCGAATCAGGAAAGAGAACCAGGTGATCAGCGCCGAAGAGAAGCGCGGGATCTTGAAGATGCAAGCCGAGGAGAAGGCCAAACGCGAAGGCCAAATCATCTCCAGCTTTCGAGAATGTTAGTCTTCGCCTCTCTCTCTCTCTCAATAGAAATGTATGATTGTGTTGAGTACTGACTTCCGGTTCGTGTCGCTCGGTTCTGGCGTTCTTTAGTGGTTGATACTAAATTACAAGAAACTGGTTGAAATTGATTGCGATGGCTTCACGAAATGATTATCACATCAACTCTTCAATAGGCTACCCTTCAACTTCCATACATTCCTTCCCCTCCTTCAGTCCTTTGTTGAGTGTTATATTCCCATCCAGTGATGGTGTAATGTTCGAGCGAGTCTGATGTCCAGATCATATATGAACTAGTTTGTACACATCGTGTTTTGAGCCAACAGATCCCTGTGAAATACACTATATAGGCTCTTGAGGTAAAGAAAGAACTTTCAGTATTTGGGGATGTGATGGGTGGGTTGTTGTATTGAGTAAATCTCTGCAAATCATGCAAGTGTCATGGAGATCATTTGTCTAAGTTTCAAATGATCCTATATAGGAGATCGTATCTCCAAAACAAAACAAAGAAAGAGAGCTGTCTGGCACCTTCAAGTCACAAATTTCAACTGGTTACATATAAATTATGCTTGAAGATCAAAAAGCATCTGTTAACTATCATGACAAGAATAGACACATGAAGAAAAATTAGCAATCACATAGTGCTTGAGGATTTGATTGGTGTGTGCTAATGGGTTAGTCTCAGCAAATCGTGGTGATGGAAATTTTCTATCTGAATTTCAAATGATAAGAGTTGGGACCTCAAAAAAAAAAAAAACATCTGGACTGAAGACACCACTTAGAAGCCAAATTGAAATTTAACGGGTTATCTGCTTTGAGATCAAAAAGCATCTAATGACTATTGACAAGAAGTGACACATAAAGAAAACTTTGGAACACCTTGGACCATGTGGAAATTGTGAACAAGCAAAAAGTGGACAAGTGATTTTACAAAACCAACTTTGCAAGATTGACTTTTCTTTCTAATAGATATTAAGTAAAACAACAAGTATCATAAGTTGATGATGAATTCTACCGAGGTTTCATTTTTCGATGAACATACTGATTGGTAGATCAGAATAATCACCGGGGATTTTTTTGGCTATGATTCTTTTGAAGATGACGTATAACCAAGGAAGGTTTTGGATTTCAGAGTCCCAAGACTCTTTGAAAAAACGGAAAAACCTATTGGTATGCAGGAAATCTTTCCATCCAGGATCTTGATCGAATTGAATCAGTAAGAATTGTTTGTAATTATTAGCTGCTTCCTTGAGCTTGTAATAAAAGAAACTTCCTTTATTGGACCATGCATCTTGCGGTATTGGACGACCATAATCAAATTCCATCCAGACGAACCATCCATAATCTAGAAACATCGTCCTCCATAAATCTACTTGTCCAATCAACCTCATCAGTTCGAAATTCCTCTTGAAACTGATTGTGTTTGGGTCATGGGGATCGTTTAAACCGAGGTGCTCGATAAACTTTGGACCATACTTCCTCTGCGCAAAATCCAGGATCAGAAATGAGAATCGGACGATGTGGAATTGAACTTCAGAATCGATTTCCGGCTCGAGAACGGGCGAGATCAAGAAATCCTTCATCTTCAATAGCCCGTCTTTGACTTCTGAAAGACCCTGTAATATCGATTCTTCTGGATCATTGTCATTTGAGTGGTGGTTTGGCAGGAATTCTTTGGCGAGGATTTCTTCCATCTTTTCCATGAACTCCATCTGCCACGAGACTTGAATGTGTGTACTACTTCTAATGCTACTCGCGGTAGTGTCGACGATGTCTTTCATGGGAAACGTCATCCGGTAGACAAAATCTATCATCGTTTTCAGACGGTGAAACACTACAAAAGTTTGTTCTCTTCCTCCAAGCTCTTATAAGTTCAAGACGGTCAATATGAAATCAACACATACGGGTCAACCGACTTGATCAGGCAAAAAAGGGGGGGGGGGGGACATTGGACCACTTACCACCGAAGATGTCGGCCATTGGTGAAAGTAATGGATGGTTTTGTAGGAATTCAATCTCATTTAAATCGTGATGAAAGTTGTTCCAATACCTGGTAGCATAACCGAAAATCCGATGAGATTCCTGTGCAAGCCATTTCAAGACAACAGGATCTTTCAAATAATTCGCAAAGGTTTCCGTCATATCCGATGGGATGAGTTTGTATTTATACAAATAAACCAAGCTCTCCAAGATGCATTTCGTCCATGCTACACGAACGTGGAAATAATTGACGCGTAGATCCGATGGTCTTGTTAGGATCGAGACCAACTTCTTGATCGATTCTTTATACTCTTCCAGGAATGATTTCGGAATCAAGTCGATTGGTTTGGGAGGTTGAGCAAGCGATTTGGTGTCCGTCGCAATCACCGGGATTGGGGATCCATAAATAGTCTCAATACGGTCGTAGAAAACTTCTAATTCTTCGTGAACTTCTTCCATTGTAGCCCAATCGTCTGTTGAGATACGCGATGGTATGACTTCTTTGATCAATTCTTTAGTCCAAGTAGCAGTCTTGATCATCGAATTCCAATCGGCCTGCTTCAACATCAAATTTTCTAGCCAAGAGATCGGCTCAGTTATAGCCTTTCTTTTCCCCCTCTCTGACTGTGAAATAAGGTTCACTAACCCTGCTCGTACTGCGTCCTCAGTTCGCGCATGATGTTTGCTATTTCTGAGGCAGAGGTGTGGTTTTGAATGAACGGCGGGAGAAGCTTCTATGTAAGAATACAACCTCTTTGACTTTTTACTCACTAATTTCCTCTGCCACTCCCACAAGGTGTTGGTAAACTGAGTTGTGGCGGATGGACTTGGGATGTTTTCTTGGTTGACCATTCTCATCAAGATCTTTGACGCCCAGATGATCGTCTACATCCGAGATGTTTCTCAGTCTTTTTTTCTTTGTCTGCCTGACTCTGAGGGACAAGAATCTGGGAAGGATTGCGGCGTCAATGTGCACTCACGATTCGCGTCACGGCTCATGTCGGAAGCAGCCTGGTGAGCATGATGTTCGCCATTGGTTTGCGAGAGTTCTAGAGGTACTGGATTGTTCAAACCTAGGAAAAAACATCACAAGATATTAATCCTTTTCGGTATCTCCAGAACATGCCGACGGCAAACAAAGGAAGTTGGATTGGCATACCTTCGATGTCGCTTTGGACGACCTCCTTTCCCTCACTTGGGAAGTCCTTGATAGAAGCAGGAACACATAACCCATTCTCCGCAGTCAAACAAACCACGAGAATCAAGGTCACTGTTTTCCAGCAGACCATCGTGTGAAAGAGTCTATCCTCTGTTAATCAATCAAACCAACAAAAAATGTTCTTGTTTTGAGTCAGGGTATCGGTCAACCAAGTTTAATCGAACACACGAAGACTGGAATGTAAAAAAAAAGACCTTGACTCTAATAAACCTCGGCGTTACTTTGAGAAGCAAGTCGGATGAGATTGGCGTCCACACTGCTTGTGGGCTATCTTAGAAACCGCGTCATAACATAAGTGAATCATGGGTATTAGACTGATGGTGATTCCAGGATGTTCATTTCGAGTCTTCATGGATATACGTGTATATAAAAGATGTAAGTCTTCAAGAAGCCTCCAATTCTGTACGGCTCGACTCAAAAACACTCAAACTAATCTCTAGACTCTTCATCCAAGCGCATAAATATGCTGTGTTCAACTCTTACGAAGCAAGTTTCATTCTCATGAAGCGCCAATGAGGGAATAGGAGGGAATGCCGTTTCTAGCGTATTGTTAAACGATCTCTTCGCTTCCCATTTATGTATCTCTTGTTTTATCAATCAAAAGTTCTTGTGGGGATGTGTGATTTATGGAGAATACATACATAAATATATAGTTTCAGCTGGGCTGAATTTAAGGGATGGTCAGAAGACCAAGAATAACATGTTTCACAAAACCTAAGGATGATATGTACGACCTCCAAGAGCCAGTTATTTGTAGACCTATTTAAAATATCCCAACTTGCAACTTCAGTTCCTCAGAATTCTGAACAGAGAGGGGGCCTCCGGTAGCCTAGTATCACATACCTTGCCTATTTCCACTAGATTCTTGATTTTGATAAGACTTGCTGTGCAACTGTGAACCTCCCATAATTGATTGCAAAATACCTCACAATACCCACTTGGGAAACGCAATTAGAACCTTGGAGTCATATTGTGATCACTGTGGTGGTTTTCAGTCAGCTTGAGTGAAGCAGTAGCGCCAGCGGGCGGCCTTATTACTACCGCTACTTGGAACAGCTTACTAACCACTGTTTCCTTAGTCCAAAGAGCGTCAGCGCATTGCGTTATTGGTACATGTTGCAGCAGTCTATAAGGCGCTGCTGGTAATTTTTAGCCTTATATTCTTCACTGTTTCTTCCCCGATTTTAGCCCATTTCCTCCCTTTTTTGACATCTTTTTTACCATAACCATCTAGAGAAAAGGAGCGAGTGTTGTTGCAAAAGGAATGTTGATATAGTGAGTAGTGCCCTTTTTGAAGAGGTAGCAGATCGGTCTTGTGTGGTGCTTGAACACTAGATTAGTGTGCAACAAGTATATGTATCCAAAAATCTTCCAAAATTCAAACCAATTCAAGAGGTAGCACCAAATCAATATTAAAAAAACTCCGGCACAGTAGCTCCACATCTTGGTGATCAAAACATTCTGCAGGTACTGAATTTCTAGTCATTGAAAGATTACATATAAAATTTCAGCTAGCAATTGGAAATTCTATGTGCTAAACCAAATGATCCTGCTACTGATTGAGCGTGTATGAGATGTAAATTATCAAAAGAAAATTTCAATTTTGGTTGGAGATCATGAAGAAAAGAAGCTTTACAAGTTTTGTGTTTTCTGCCAGTGATCAGTCATCTATAAGACATCACTTTCAAGTTCAAAAATTTGGATCAGTGTTTTCAAATTTGATTCGGTGTCTGGTGGAAGAAAAAACTCCCATGGGAAATTGAGACCATCTCCTCGTTTCCACCCTGTCAAGATGTTGAAATAGTTATAGTAAATTTGAAGCTGTTGAATTTCCGAATCCCACACCTTTTTAGCGAGATAGAATGGTCTGTATCTTGCAACCCTTCCATCCCATGCAGGATCTTTCTCCACTTCTCGATTGATCAGACTGTCGTAAAAATTGACCGATTCCTTGAGCTTTCCCCAGTAAAACGCTCTTCTTTCTTCCCAAATTTTTTGTGGAACTTCCCGACGGCGCGTCGTGTTGATCAGAAGGGACCAGCCGTAATCCATGAAGAGAGTCTTCCACACATCCATTTGCCCAACTGCTTTCATAAACTCGAAATTTCTTCTAAACTCCACGGCTTCGTGTGCGTCCAGTCCAACACCTAATTTTTCCATGTAATTTGGACCAAACTTCCTCTCAACAATATTCAACAGCAGGTACGAGAACCTTGCAACGTGATGTAGTGGTTCATCTTGATTTTCACGGTTCAGAATTGGTGTGATAAAAACATTCCTGATGTTCATTAGTTCTTGTTTTAAATCCAAAAAGTTGGTTACCGGTTGTGGCTCAGAATGACTATGGTCGAGTTCCTGGAGAAGTAACGTTTCCATTTTAGTGAGAAAATTGATGTGTAATGTTCGTGTAGGTATTTTTCTCGGGTCATATCCAAACATGTAAAATCTTTCGCTGTAGAAATCCATCATCATCAATTTACAACGGTAGAACAAGACGAAGTCTTGCTCCTTTTTTCCGAGTCCTGAAAAAAGAACAATTGCAATGTCAAGTTGGGAGGAGATGGTTCCACGCCTATCAGCAATTTTGAAGCGTATCGAGATGAATCTCTTCAAAGGAATGGAACTCTTGCCTTTAAATAAGTTGAAAAGCTGGCACAGTTGTGGATGGTTTTCCAGGAATTCAAATTCACTCAAGGCGTTGTGGAATCTGTTCCAGTACAACGCGTCATACTTGAATACCTCCTGAGTTTCTCTTGCAATCCATTTCAAGCTATCTGGTGCTTTCGATAAATTTTCCAAATCTTGTGATATGTCAACTGGGATGAGTTTGTGTTTGCGCAAGTAGTCTAAGGTTTGAAGTATGCAGTTGTTCCAACTTAAGCGGAGATGTAAATACTTCCCTGGCAAACTTGTGGTCTTGTATAGGATGGATACGAGAGCCGAAATTGATTTTTTGTAATCTTCCGCAATTTCTTTTATAGAAATATCAAGCGGATTGGAATTTCGACCGCTTAAACTTTCGAGTAATGACTTTTTGGGTGGAAATGTCGGAGGTCCATAAATAGTCCGCAAAAGGTTATGGCAGACGATCAATTCCTCAGAAGCTAATTTCATGACATCCAAGTCGGCTTGCAGAATTTCTGATCCTATGACCGATTTGATACTCTTTTCAAGCTCATCATAAGATTTGGCCATTGCCTCCCAATGGGCTTTCTTCAGAGCCAGTTTCTCTGATAGATCTCATGTTTCAGTTACGATTTTATTTGCTGATGAAGCAACAGCTCGCTCACCCTTCTCGTGGTGTATAATCGACCCATGTCCATCTTCTTCCATTTCTAGCAAAAATTTCAGCGTTAGTCAAGGACGCAACACAATCTAATCTATTAATTTCGCTTACCAGTACCCTGATCCACAGCGGCAACACTTGAATGTTTTGGGTGGTAGGGAAGTATCTTACTATGGCCGCTATCCTGAACAATACCTTCAAAGTTCTCGGATCCCTGGAGGTTATCTAACTTCGCAATGGTACTCAGCCCCTTGTTGCAGGATGACATTTTGAGAGCGAAGGACAAAAACTTACGATCTTTGCTCCGAACAGCTGCAGTCAATCCATCAGAAGGAGCCTCCCGAAGACCGTGTGATGTACCTAACAAAAGCACCCCACCGTTCGGATTTGGTAGAAACAAGTCCGTAAAGATGTTGTTCTGGTACGTCAAGGAGAGATTACCTGAAGAGTCCACACATTTGACAGGGCTTCCAGATTCCATTCCTCCATTGACGACGTCTCTGATAGAAGAGGACATACAAATCCAATCGTTGGATAGCACAAGCAAAGCCAATATCAAGGTTGGTACTCCAACGTAGGCCATAGCGGAGATTACCAATTTTGTTCTTGGTAGTTTGGTATGGTTAAGAATTGAGACACCAAAGCAAACACATGTCAACACACTGGATGGGAGTCGGTTCACTAGTTGTGGATGGGTAGGTGGCGCAAAGAGACGCGCTATCAAGATTGTGATTTTTTGACTGCACGGCCACAGGACAGCTCTTTAGAATTTTACCCTTCCTGTCATTCTCAGAATCTATGACCAATCCAATCTACCCGCACTGCCATTACATGATTTGAAACTTCTACCTTACCAATCTCGGATCTAATTTGCGTATTTATTGTATTACTTCACAATCCGGGAAGGTGGAATCCATGAGTATTTGAGCCAATAATTCATGAAGGAAGGTGCATGATAAGGTCATCACGTCAAGATGCGTCCTTTTGTGCTCGTTTCGCCTAGAGCTCAAACGAGTAGCAATGCGTGTTTAGAACGAGAGTTTGTTTTGCCTTGCTCGCCCGGAAGAAAGCAGGGCGGCGAGGAGTGGAAATTCTTTTTTATCAGTGATTCTTGATGGAGTGAGTGGGCAAAGAAGGGTAAAAAGTATAATGTAAAAAAGACATAGGAAAGGATTTAAGAGATCTTTGATATAGGTGCAGCATGGCAAATGTAACAAAATTGAACAACTATGGAAAAAAGCACAAGACTATGGAAAAAAGCACAAGACTATGGAAAAAAGCACAAGACTATGGAAAAAAGCACAAGACTATGGAAAAAAGCACAAGATCTGTAGCAATTGAACTAAAAAAATGAAATAAATGATCCCTGCAGAAAACTCTCAGGTAACTGGCAGTAGTAGACATGCAGGATATTTCAGGATCAACTTGGTTGCAACTGCTACATGTGCAATATGCACAGTGGCTGTGTATCACAATTTAACTGAAGAAACAAAACAGAATAATTGAGTTGAAGCACAAGTTTCACATAAGTCTCTACCTGTCCAGTGTCAACTGACAGCAGCTTACCCTTTTTTTGCAGTTTGCTGTTACTGGCTTTCATATGATATCCTAATTGGATACTATGCAGCTCCAATGTGCATGTGATGAGGAATAAATTGGTGGTCCAATCAATACTGGACAAGTCAATTTCACAAACATCTGGGATTTTTTAAAAAGTCACGGATGGCAGGCTCAAAATCAAAGTAAAACCAAAGTTCAAAAGACTCATATAACTTATAAGTAGGACCCCAGGGGGATGTTACATCAAAAAGTTGGCCAACATTAAAGCACATTAACCTGGCCAAGGATCAAGAGGTGGCCACCAGCACATTCTCATGGCTGAGGCCCAACAGGTCACCAAAATTTTCCAAGAGATGGAAGGGGCAGAGAGCCAATTCCTAGCACCCAAAAGCACCCACACCTTAGCGATACATCGGTTGAAAGATTTGTTTGATGCCCGAAAATTGTGTCACAAGAGTCGGCACGCTTGGGCCACAAAAGAGAAAGTCCCCAACGTGATTTGAACACGTGACCTGCCGCTGTACAGCTCACTGCAGGCGGCCGCTCTAAACCACTGAGCTATGGAGACTGGCTTGTTACGTAACACTACGGGCAATTAGCTGACGCTCCCGCGCGGAACGTCACCTAACCCAAGGGGGGCCCCTTTGGGTTAGGTGACGCTGCGGGGCGCAGCGTCACCTGTTTGCCTGTAGTGTAAACGACGTAAAATGAGTCATAATTGCACAAATGACGTCACTCAGCAGTTTGGAGAGAATATCATCGTTGAGCTCGTCAAGGCTTCATGAGCTCTTGATGACCATTCAAGCAGCTTATTCTAGTCTACCTTCAAGCTCACACTACATAGACCATTGATCCGCTTAACTTCCAGTGTTGTGATCTTACCATGCAGCGATCTGGTGAACTCCTACAGTCAATCCCCAAAAGAAGGAAACCGGTGTTGATTGATCACGTTGACTCGAGCACGAATCTCAAATGTCCTTCGCAGACAAATCTCTCCGCTAAGTTTCTGTCACAGAGCTCTCAACGATTGGAAGATGCGCTAGGTTCCTTAGGTTCCTCCGGGAACTTCAAGCAATTGCCTGGTAGTTTTACTAGTATCCGGGAGCTTACTGTATCTTGTGTCAGCAAGATGAGTCCTACTCCACCACCGCAGCCTGAAGAAGCCGGTCGACTGTTGACCACAGATAACTGTGGGGTAACCCAAAGTGAATAGATTTCTAACCGTAGTTTCAGCATTACGAGAAAACGAGCTCACGATGTTTCTTCCCTTTGAAGTTTTGATCATAAAACTTAACGAGCACCCCTGGAGTCTGGGCAGAAACCAGCAGGCGGATTTGACTATCGATAAACCGACGGTTTCAAATTGGCACTGTAAATTATATGCAGTCAGTAGCTTACCTTTAAACTTCTGAAAAACTATCGATAAGCCTATTGACCACCCCATTTTGCGCGAAAATGAAGATTGAGTGTGATACTGGAGAAAGGATAGTTTGCCTTGAAGTCAGGAAATTCCTTCGAACTCCGATCTTCAAATTATTCATATTCATCTTTTGTGTACGATGTTCATTTTCAGGACCTCTCCACTAACGGGATTCGTTACAATGATCGATTGGTTCGCAAAAAAGCGGTGATTCTAAACAATGGTGACCAAGTTGAGATCGCTGGCCAAGGTATAGTACAACTCTGTTTATTATTATTCTTGAACTGGTTCTCATGTTATGATATTGTAAACTTCAGTTTTCTCTTACAAGCATTCCTGTCCACCTGGGCAAGGTTCTACGAGCACTGTAAGCCAAAGATTCCCTTTGCCCAATCATGGGAGCGCTTTACGAACGAACTTGTATCCTGCTCTTATCGTTTTTTTCAAACAGACAGTGGGCAAGTATCGAATAACAGAACGGGTGTTGGGATCAGGGTTTTTTAGCGTGGTTCACCTGGCCATCAACCAAGAAACAGGTGCTCAGCTGGCCTGTAAAATTATCAAGCGACAGACTGGTTTTAGGCAATCAGCAAGGGAGACTAAGAAATTTCAACAGGTTGTTCAACAAGAGGTTAAGCTAAATGCTAGTCTTGATCACGTTAGTGAGGAACAATCCTAGAACTATTATCATATGTTCGAATGTCTTAAACTCACCTCTCGAATAATCAATAAAACAGCCCAACATCAACAAAATTCTCGGTCTTAAACAGGCCAAGGAGAACATGTAAGACATCTGATTTACTTGATTAATTCAGCATGTCGAATTTGGTAAGTTGTTTTGACGACATGCTCTGGACTCTCCAACCGAAAAGTTACATTTTTCTAGAGCTAGTAACTGGAGGAGACCTATTCGGATATGTCAACCGGAACAAGAAGCTTGACGAAAATGAAGCAAAGTTCATCTCGTACCAACTAGCTCTCGCCCTTGAGGTAAGCACCTAGAATGTTTCAAGTTCGACGATCTGGTTCGATTTGATCTAAGTAAAGGGCCCTTTTCACCGATAGTATATGCATGACCAAAAGCAGATATCGCATAGAGGTATGTGTATGAAGTAGTATATTTTTCTGATAGAACGAAGGCTTAACATTCGTAATTTTTCATTTAGACATCAAACCGGAAAACATTTTGCTGGCTCATCATGGGCCTGATCCGAGAGTATTGCTCGCCGACTTTGGAGCGGCCCGTTTAGCCGATAAAGCATTTTGCAGCATGCAGGGAACAATGTCATACGCCGCTCCGGTCAGTTACGGTGGGTTTGATACCAGCTCAGCTCAGCCAAGCTAAATTGGATCGATTCTTTTTCTTCTACCCTTGAAGGAAGTCTTGACGGTTTACACGCGACCTCAAGGTTTGCCAAACACCATCTCATTGCTTGGGCAGTCCATTCACTTATTTTGCTCTTCCAATCATGGGAATGAAGGTTACGATGGAAAAAAAGCCGACGTGTGGTCCCTTGGGGTATGTGTTTACACAATGATCTGGTAAGTTTTTGCATCTTTTCACAAATGTTCCAATTGCGACTCCATCAGTATAAACCCATTGCTCAAAAGAAGTGCTTCAGTGGTTTTCATCCATTCGATAACAGTCAGCTCGAGAGCGCGGAAGCAGAAAGAAGAGAAATTTGCAAAATCCTCAAGTATAACGTTGAACCCAGCGAAGTTCATTTTGTGAAGAGTGTGCTGAAGCCAGCATCTAAAGACGAGGCGGTAAAATGTATGTCTGGCGGAGGCTATAAAGAAGGTGAAAACAAGAATGATTTTTTTCTTGGACCTCCGAAGCACATGGCGGTATACTGATCGTGATGGTGAATTCTCTATTGAGGAGCAGTTCGAGAATTGTTGAAGCAAATGTTTGAATCCGATCCGCGTCGAAGAATTTCAGCTAGCGAAATTTTGAATCATCCATGGATCACACAATCAAGAAATATGTTGGAGACAAAATATAAGAAACGTGTTCTTTGCCAGAAATAATGGTAGAAGAATCATATTACCAACCTATGTCGTCGAGGAATCTTCCAATGTAGCATTAAAATAACCACATCATTTGTATCTGACCCAGGGATTAATTTCAGATGTATTTTTTTTTTTTTTCATGATGCTTGAGAATTTTGCCTTCAGGCACTCTTGGGCGGCGTTGATATACGCCCGCCCTCCCCCCCTCCCGCCCGCCCACGCCCACGCCCCTCCAAAAGGGGCGTGCAATCGCACCCGCCCCTCAGAGACGGGCGGGTGGGATTGTGTCAACAATCGACAAACTCAGGACGAAACAAAAAATTTCTTTTTTCTTTGTTTCAGAAACAGATCATGTGGTTTTTCTCTTTTATTTCTAAGAGTTTTCTATATTCTATTTCTATATACATATTATGTTACTTCTATTTCTAGTTATACATAATATGTTATTAGGCGCGTCAAGGAATGTTAAGATCCTGGCACGTGTCGAGTTCCTCTCATAAATAGTCCTTCATTTCTGAACCCGCTCCTTTTTCCCTCATGGGATTTATTTTGTTTTCACTCTCTAAACACTTTAAAATTAAAAATATCATTTCTTATTTTTCATACCATCATCAGGATTTGAGAATCCTCCCTGCACCCTGCCAAAAAACCCTGCGACCCTGAAAGTTCTTTACATTATAAATCTATGGAGGTACTGAACAGCCACTTTGGCCAAAAAAAATGAAAAATGAAAAACCCAATTTTCAAACAAATATGAGTGATTCCAACCGCCAAGTTGGCCAAGTGGATCTGTCATGTATGTCATACACCCTGACAATACATCTCAAACATTCCAATACATACAAACTATGTGATAAGCTCCCTGGAGCCAAAGTACCTACCATCCTCAACGCATAACACATACACCACAGCTCTTTGACCGATGAATCAGCTGGCAACCGAGCTCAAGAAACACTCTTCTCACTAACTGCTGACCCTACCAGACCAACCACTTGACACACACCAACCACTCGACACACACCAACCACTCGACACTGACCAACAACTCAACACCACCCCGCCAGATCGTACTACATACACCAACCATCCATCATGCGTGCCTCAATGCGATCTTTTGGTGACGATTTCGAGGCTGAGGTTCTCTTCTAGTTGAATCTGGCCTGACAGACGCTGAAATCCGCAAACATATTCAAGACACGCACGGCATATCCGACT